TTTTCTTACTGGTTGAGAGAAGTCGAATAATGAATAATGACAGTTTGCAGGCATGAAGCAATTTCCTTTCCTTCGTGAAACCAATAATAACAAGGAATATTGAATACAACCGAGCTTATTTATGTTACAATCCAATAATTCTCTGATCAATAATTGAATTTTCTTGTTACCCACGTTGAGAATCAAATAATAAATAATGACAGTCTGTAGGCATGAAGTTATTTCGTTTCCTTCACGAAGCCAATAATAAAAAAGAATACTGAACACAACTGAGCTTTATTTTACAGTCCAATAATTCTCTGATCAGTAATTGAATTTTCTTATTTGCTAGTAACACAGGGAATCAAATAATGAATGATGATAGGTTGAAGACATGAAGCTATTTTGTTTCTACATAAACCTAATAATAAAAAAAAATATTGAATACAATTGAACTTATTTATTTTACAATTTAATAATTCTCAGATCAATAATTGAATTTTGTTATTTATTAGTAACACAGGGAGTCAAATAATGAATGATGACAGTTTGTAGGCATGAACTAAAGATAACGGGGTTCACAGGGGAAAGGAGAGCACGGAGAAAGAAAGACAAGCAGGCTGATGGGCACAGAGAGGGTAGCAGCTGATAGTGGAAAAGGTAGTGGAGATAGAAAGTAGAAAGAGAGACGTGTTCGCGGATAGAAAGGCGATCGGTGCGCACTACTATTGTTATCAATTTACTTCCGATATATTGACTGGTTTCTAAAATGGACGCTCTTATCGATACGTGATTGTGAATCTCCACGGTTCGAACTAACCTCTTTGAGCAATCGATTTTACCACCTGTCGACCGCAGACACATCTACATACATACATGTCTCAGGAAACTTATCAAAGATTTTAGGTGGTACCGATTTGAATTGTTGATGGAGTTAAAACGCAATTGACGCCGCTTAGAAGGTTAAGTCGTTGGTGTTCGGGACAGAGGGAAGAAAGTTCAACCTGGAAACTCATTTCTTGCGGGAATATAACTTATGCTAACTACGTTGAAGTAATGCAATAAGAACATTCTATAGTAAACTGATTCCGTTGTGGCTTAATGCAAACGAGAAAGGAACAATTAAACGCACATCAGACGTGATGTTTCGTTTGTAATGTATAGAATGTTTTCATTTTAAGATTATCGATTAAGATTAGAATTACGAAGCGATTAAGATGCTTTTTCATAATTATTATGAAAATTTATAAAACAATTGAACATTATATACATATAAGAAGTGATCGGGATCCAAGTCTATACAACGCGTAGCCACGGCCCTGACTACCCGTGGTCGGCGAGCGATGGCCGTGTGGCGCCGAAGCTCTGTACACACGCTCCTGACGGCGATTTTCTTAACCTGCCTGAAAGAAAACATTTTTCACGCTTCCCGCGGGGGGTTCCTCTTCAGAAATATCTGCAGAATCCAATGGCGCATAGCAAATTCGTGCTAGCCAACCCACTTTTCGTAGAAATGTAACAGAAGTGCATACAAAGTACGCGCATCTACCCTTTTTTCAAATTTGATCATCATTTACAAGCATTTAGTGATATGCAATATTTGAAATTTGTATAGTTACATATTCGGGTAACTCTCCTCTATTTTTTACGACCAATTTTAGCTGCTGTTTTTAGTTTTCACGTAACACTTGTTTATCTGAAAAATTCGACAGTTTTTACAAAAACCCATGTTTTTCGAAAACTGGACGTAACCCAGCAATTTGGTTTTCGAATTCGTATTTAGACAAGGAACTGTATAAGAATCACCTAGTGGTTATTGCAAGACACAAAAAAAGTTCAAATTTGTTCCACAGTGTTATAGAAAAGTAATACTTAATTTATATTTTAAAAGAATTAATAACACTTAGATTTCTCAAATTTAATTGAAAATTTTTTGTCACGAGTTTTACACGATATTGTAGGTCAAGAGGTTCGTAGACAAGTAAAATGAGGGAGGAATTCTAGATATTAATGTGCGAGATGATTTGTATTCCTTACTACATAATTAATTCTTCATTGATTTTATCAATGTATTGTGATGTAATAAGAAGAATTTGATTCGAGTATTGATCCTTATTAATTACTTGGAATATATTAGCGATTAAAAATATCCCCGTTACTCACGTACAGCTGTTAATGAGTTATATGTTATTTTCAATTAAAAAGTATTTTTTGTCTTATTTTACAGAATATAATTTGCACGAAGTTTTTGAAGCTCAATCGTTCTTCGAAATTAAATTTCTCGAAATCTAAGAGACATAAAGAATACAGATTTCAGATTTGAATTCAATATACTAATGCATAATCGTGATTAAACTGATTGCAACTTGTAATTCACTTATACCTAGGACTTGCTTCATTGATTTGTGTAACAAACAATAAAAATAGTATTAATTATAATGAAACTTACAAATGTCAGAATGTAATATTCCTGAAGAATCGATTTTTCGACCTACGTAAAGCGAATATTGCGTTGCCTTTAAAATTCAGGTGAGTCTTTTACACACGATTTAAAGAGCATAAGCGGAGAACCAATCACTGCATTATTCACAGGCTGCTGGCCTATAGATCGGAAAAAATTTAAGGCGTCTTTCTAGATAAGAGAAGATGAGGTGAATATTAGGAACAAGAAAACTATTGTTTAATTTTTATCGCTAATTGTAAACATTTCAGAAAAGGAATTATTAAAATTTGTTTAAGAAAACAATGTTTCAATTCTCTTTATCCATAAAATAAATAAATAGAGTACCATAATGAAGTCAACATTTAAAGTGAGTTGTGAAAGTTCACCTTACAGGAAATGTAGAAAGTTCGATAAAATTCAACGATATTACGTGTTGTTGGCATATTTAAAAAAATCTGGATACAATGAATCACGAACTACTTGAACAGTTGCAATTAAAACTTTAAACAAGCAAGGTATGGAAGCAATGTTATAGCTGCTGAAATGGATTACAGGATAATTACGACTCTATTCTTAACATGGATTCAAAGCATTTTTATTAAAATTGATTGTAAAATTTTTAGTTATTAGTTAAATGATATAATTTCGTTATGTACTTACGTTAACTTTAGATAAACATTGTTGATTATGCTCCTTCTAAATATACATATTTATAATTCGTTAAATATGATTTTAATTGATTTATAATTTTCGTTATAACATTCTATTCTAATATAATATTTTTATAGTTAGAAATATAATTTTTGTAAATTACTTTTATCTTCTTTAACACACTTTATCTAAAAATAAATTACCCTTTTATCAAATATTTTCACATTACGTATAGGTATAATTTTAATTAAAATATTAAGTAAAATTTTAATTGAATCAATTCTCACTAAGACCTTATCTAAAATGACATGCTATTTTATTGTATAGTTGTTGCACAAATGTTCTAACAACCATATGATATTAATATCAACTTCACAGTTTAAAATCATATGTTGTTTTACAAAATGTACCTCGTTGTTTTATAGGTTAACAAAATTTTACACTTTAACACCTTGTCCTACAATATCGTGTCTTACCCATGGCGTGACTTAATTCTCTCAATTTCAAATTAAATATTATTTTTCTATTGTGAATTACTGTACTTCAGAGTAGACGTAGATAGAATGAGCGTGGAATTTTCTCCTTTTCCTAAGGAATTATGAACTGTAAAATTATTTTGTCCAGTGCAGTTGTTATCCAGTAAAGAAATTATAGTTCAAGAGGTTAAGAGTGAAGAATACAATTACATATACTCTATGCTTAAACGAAACTGGTACAGTTGGTTATTCACATGATCCTAGCCGGCCTGTGTTTGAAACGGGCGGGGCGGCAAGGGGGGACGTTCACTCGCGGCGCTTGGCCCAATAGTAATGGCGGAATTAGTTTCGGCACGTCTTTGTTACTGGCTGAGCCGCAAGCTGAGGTGGATCGTGTGGTCGAATCCCCTTGTCCCTCTTCACTTTTGAGTCATGGGCCGTCAGGGATCATGTCAGTAACGCACTGTACTTATATATTATATGGACTACCTTTGTTTTTAAGAAATAAAGTATTAATGATAATACTAATAATAATAATAATAAAATTAAATATTAATAATGTTGTTATAAAGTAGTTTGGCAGACATTTATTTTACGGTTCGTTCTACTGCTTCTAGAAAAATTCATGTTTGTCCAGTCTTATCTTGGAAGTTATATGTTTAAAAATAGATAGTTTGGGTACATATTGGTGTAATTACGTGAACCGAAGTCGATGTAAACATTTACGAAGCAATTTTTATAAAATTGAGTGTGCGTCAAACTGACGCGTTTCATAAATCTAGCGTGAACGTGTTAACACCGGTATGTACTACCGGGGATATACAGCTGCTTTATAATATTAAAATAAATCACCGTTAATAAGTAAATTATTTATCAAATTATTTATTACCATTCACTCACAATTAGCAACTGAACTCAGGAAACTACACACGTGACAAAAGAATGCACTCTAACATCATTTTTGCAAACATCGTTATTATCACGATCTATGATTAAGCATACAGAAACATGTTCCGATGTAAATGTGTTAACCTCTTGCCCTATGATCTGTTTCTCAACTGTACTAGATGAAATAACTTTACCGTTAATTATTTAGTAGAAAAGGAAAAGAATTTTATACTTATTCCATGTCTACGTTTACTACAAATGTTAAACATTATTAATAGGCAAGTATTATTTAATTTTCGTTAAAAATAAATAAATGGCATTTAAATTTGTCGAATTTAATTTCAAATTTTCATCGCGAGCCCGACACGTTATGATATGGCAAGGGGTTAAATAAATATTAACTGAAATATTAATGAATATTAATTAAGTGTTAAATAAATATTCAGTTATAAAACAATGGTGGTTCGTGTAATACGTAAGTATCACGAAACTTTGCTAAAAATTAAGCTTGTAGAAAAACGAATTAATAATATGGTCATATTTTTTGTGTTGGTTGTTTCAAGTCATGGTACGATTACAAACTGCGATGGGAGCCAAAAGAGTACGGAGGAGTTCACATGTTACACGTGCCGTCCGACCACATATGGCGGCCCGACATAGTCCTCTACAACAAGTGAGTCTGCCTGCTCCTCTTTGTTCTATATTCTAATTACATCTTCTATAGTTTCACATTACATCTATACATATGGTAGTGCCGTTGCATGTTGTCAACAAAGTTAAAGGTGAGCGGACATTCGTTTCTTTTAAAACATAGATACAGTAAATTTTCTTGTGTCATTACTGAAACAAAATTTGAGAATGAAATTTATGTTTATCCCATATTTCGTGCTAACTTGGAAAAAGCTAATAATTAAAATATGTACATAATAAAATCTACTTGAAATTTACATTTCATGAAAAAGAATCTAAGCGTATTTATATATATATATATATATGTAATTTATTTATTACTTTTATCGTAAATAACTTTTAAAGTATTAGAGCACTTTTCAGATAAATTAGTTTATTATTTTGATTAATAATTTCGAGCTATTCAATTCCTATTATAGTTTACGTTTAGCTTGGCTCAAGTAAGTACCGAATATAATGTAAATGAAAGTTGTTCCGTACGAACGTGTTTTTAATTCCATTGAGATGAAAATTTTACGATACACGCGCTTTTGTCTTCCAGCAAGTGTCTCTAATGTACACTGGCATTTGAGTAATTTCTCTTTCTAAATTATAATACACAAACGAAATAAGAAGTGAGTGTCCACTCGACTAAACGAGAGAGGTACCATCGTCGTGCATATTGCATTTCAAAGTAGAACAGTCTATTTGATGTCAAAGTGCATCTCATATCGCGACGTCGTTGCGAAAGTTACGGAAAAATGTGAGGTGGTGTCCATGTAGTGATTTCAAATGGAAATTCCAGCTGTTTCGAATGAAAGATGACTTACTATTGTTCATTGATTCTTTTTGTTTAATACTATCAACTCATCTTTGTGCTACTGTGCGGTGCGCAGTAAATTAAATTTTGAAACTTAAATATTTATTAAATGAAGCGAAGGATTTAGAATAAAGATTTAAATTATTGCGGAATAAGGAGAAATACGACTTTATTTTGAATTGTTTCGATATCCGTATTGTTAAAAATTATTGATGGTGCATAGATAGAGGAATATGTTTAAACTAATAATAAGATATCACATTATTAATCACTTAAATATTTACTTAATAAAAACAACTCTCATTTTCTGTTTTCGATTACTGTGGCTAAATTATTGCAGTTAATAAAAAACGAAATACAAAAAGTTGCTCTGAATTTAAAGTATGTGAAATTTTAATAAAAATTTTGAAATTATTCTATGTTACTTTTGTATAAATAAATATGTACGTTACTAGGTTTATTACATAGAAGTATCACGTTAGTGAATAATACACATTTTATTAAAAGAATGTTTTGTGAAATTGGATAATTTATTTTTCTTTGTAATGACATTTTGGTGATAGTGAGAAATGTATAATATCCGTTTAAACTGAATTACTTTCTCTTTAATTGTTAAAGTTGAATTACGAATACAGAAATATAAATCAAATTTTGAATATTATCTAAAATTTTGTAACGAAAGTAAATTAAAATTCAAAAGTTATGCTGACAAATAGTTTTTCTTTCTTGTTCACATAAAATATTTTATCATCATCACTTTGGCGAAGTATAGAAGTAAGATTTATATCAACATATTTTTAATCATTTTTAATTAATATATAGGTTAATAAAGTTGTATCAGTTAATCATGTATTATTCAAAAATACTTCATTCATTTCTAAACAATGTGATTTTAACAAGCTATCATTATTTTTAACTTTACATGAATTGAATAAAGATTAATAGTCTTAATATTCAATTATTTCTCTTTCTCAGTTTTATAATATTTTACACCAAATGTAAGAATATTTTACAATATTATATGAAAATATTATGAAGCTTTTAATTACTAGGAAGTGCTGGGGATATTATTCTAATATCAACGAGAATCATTGGGAGTCATTATACTGCTTATCGTAGCATTGAAAAGCTCGTATCGATCATTATTTTCCCATTAGTCAGATATTTATGTAGGTCGAGAACACCTCCATTATGTAGTTATCACCCCTATCTGTGCACTGCCTTCTGGGAAATATGGACATCATACACAGGTTGATTCGTCTAACCTAATCTCAAATTACTTATAAAATATTGCTGCAATATTAATTATAGTAAAATATGCAAATATTATACATTAACCTAACAATATTTTGTTCGATATTTCGTTTATACTTAATGATACAGAAGGTATGAAAAACGGTGTTTGAATAATTCCAAAAGAGGATTGTTGATAATAAACAGTTTTCAATTTCTCAGTCAGCGTATCCTCTTTTCCTACATTCAAATATATTTAAGTCACGACTTTCAAGATATCTTGAACATTAAACAAATTTTAAAGTACTGAATGAAATTTAAGGTAGTACGTATATTTATTCCTTTTTATTACAAATGCTTAAGAAATGATGTTCATCAGTAACGATTCACTGTCTTTAACCAGAAATCGAGGATCTCGATGCTGCTTTAATTACTTCTAACACGATAGTGGCACAACCTGTAATTATGCGATTCTTCTTCACGTCTTCGTGAGTGGTAGTTTGCTACAGGCAAACGTCTTCTTTTAGTTTTCCTAGTTCGGTAATTCTAGTTTATAGCTCCAGATGCCTTATATTTTCGTAAAGATCTTTATTAATAGCGTTTCGTACATTTATTTCATACGTCAGTATTTCAGATTTCTAATGTCCTTTTGATTTCGACAAATTGACGAAAGCATAATTCCCTATACATTCGTTGAAGTATCGCTCAATTTTATCATAAACAAAAATTATTTCATTTCATTTTTCAAGCTTATGCTTGCAATATATTTCTGTGACATACCTAAGCATATAGTAAGAATATTCTGTTTCTATAAGGTTTCTTAAATAAATGATCTTATGCACCTTTTGAAATTGAGTGTCTAACGAATTAAAGAGAAAAGAATAAATATAAAGGGGATATGATATGCAGAAGGATAAATAGTATTTCAAATAACATTATATAGAAACAATGCACATTATAGGCTATTTCTGTCTGTTATACGTTGATAAACATAACTTAGTAGATCTGTGTGGGGTCAGTACCCTCAGAGCCTTTAAGAAGCATTAAAGGGCTAAAAAAGTCGGTGAGCATCGTGGCTCTGGCCGCTGAAGCATCCCTGGCCAGTCAACAATTCTCGAGTGCGCGGATTCAAGTTTTCGCCTGACGTGGCTCTCTTTTCTTCAGATTTGGTATTCAAGGATCCTTTGAAAGGCCTGAAATATCGCATAGTTGCAGTACAGCTTGTGCTGCTATTGCGTCAAATGTACAATTGAAAAACCATATCGCAATCGATGATTTTTCGTTTGAAACTGTGTATCGTCGTTGATGGATGTTACTTTGAATATTTCATTTATTTAAAAAAAGGAAAATACGTATTTGTACCTATCATCTTAAGATTATATGTCAGCATTTCATAATTTTATAATGTCCTTTAAAACTCCTCTTCATCTCAGAGTTCTAAATTAAACATGCATATTTAAACAGTTCTTTTATATATACATATAGAACTGGCTCTGCTGGGCCAACCATCAGATTTTTCACATTTTAATAGTTCTTAAGAGGTGGTACAAAATGTAATGGGAAAAATATATATTTTGAGAAAAAAAAACACTGCTGATCTAAAGGAACTTCGCAGAAAATTATTACAAAAATGTTGTCTATTAGCGATATTCTGTTTTTAAATTATTCAAACTGACTAAAATATTTCTATGTTAGTGAAAATACACATAAAGTTGGTCTTAAGTATGTTTCTTTCGTATACTTTTTATAAGGCTTCTTAAATAAATGATCTTATACACCTTTCGAAATGAAATGTTTAACGAATAAATGTAAAATCGTTATAACATACCGAAACACAAGCAGTATTTTAAATAACGTTATATAAAAACAATGCATATTAATTACATTATCAATCATGCTCGTTCCATTACGAGAAATGACCAATTAAAAAATAAAATAGTCAACCACTGTAACGCAATAGTGATTATTAACAGTAATTAAAATAATACGTTACAACAACATAGGCGAATGCCAAAATGGAACAGTAATTTGGGATCAAGTTACCCGAATCAACACCCTCGCGATCCTCGCATGCTACATTTAAATTTGTTTGATTTGGCGAGCAAATATTTCCAGCAGAGGAAGAGCCGTCGTGAAACAACCGAAAGAAACTAAAGTAAATTCCTGTTGGACTAAGCGCAGCCCTAATTTCAGTTTTCGCGAGCTTCTTCCGTCCTCCGCACATATTTGCGTAACTTTTGGCCCATTCGCCGACGAAAACGAGCGAGAGCCAATAAAAAGTCATTCCTGGCTCGTATTCAGTGATGGCTGGCTGTTGATGTAGTCACCGGATAGATTATTATTCATATCGCATGAAACATGGGCGCTGCGGCGAATGTTCGTGTGAATGATTCTTGACGAACGAGTTGAGGCCGCCGGTGAAAAATCATTTTCACGGTCGATTCTGGGCTTTTATGATCCCTTGGAACGCCGACCGCTGGCACCGCGGGCCGAAAACACGAAACCTAGATTCCGTGGAGATTATATTCCTACCTCTGGCAAAAGGACAATAATAAATCGGTATCCACTTTAATCTCCGATTCACCGGTAACACCGAGAAACGATGTTCGCGCGTTCACGACCGCTCGCGAACGATTATTGAAGCATGGAATCTTTTTGCAATCACTTCAACGAAGTATCAATTTTATGTGGGTTCTTATTTCGATGAAAGTTGTATACACCCGATTCGATCCAATTTATTTGACGGTGCGCGTAAAAGTAAATACGGCGCAGCGGATCCTCACCAATTGGTAGATCCAGCTGCAAAGAAGTTATTGAATAAAGTAATTGCGAGGTTAGAATAATAAAAGGAAATTTTTATAGTCATTGCAAGTAATTTTGAAAGGGAAAGGTGATTTTTTCGTTGAATAAAAGTGACGAGTAATTTTGACTTTATTAGATTCTCGATGTGG